ATTAGCTCTGGAGGAACAAAGTTTGAAATATTCCGTGAGCATGTTGGTTACTTGCATTTTGTATTATTACAGCGAGTTTTGTTTCCCCTTGACCTCAATGTTCCCCTCGGCTTCGCCTGGGAAACACTGAGGGTGGGAAACAAAACTCACTGTTTCCCTTAGGAAACAAAACTCACTGTTTCCCTTAGGGCCAGTCATTAAGTGCTTAATGATAAAACTGAAGCAAGCTTTGGACGTGAATTAGAATTCCCTCACCAAGGATGATTACGTCTTACAAGTGGGAAGATTAGGATCGATTTCCAACGACAAATCAAGGTACGACTTCGGTAACACAGTTTCTTCAAAACAAAACGTAATAGCATTTCAATTTCAAATGATTTATTAAAAGTCAAATTGCCTCATTCTGTGTTTATTTGTTCTTCCCCCTTTTTCTCGAATCTTTTATGTCCTTCTTCCCTTTCTTTGATTTTGTGTTTCCATTCATTTGGTTAACACCATTCTGATTCATTCTCTGTGACTGGTTACTCTGTAATTCATTTATTCCCCCAGCTTCAGATTGTTCTTGAGTTCTCTCCGTGTCTTTGTGTTTCCTTTTCCTGCAACCAAACGTAGCAAGTGCTCTCTTTACTGATATATTAATGTAATGAAGTACTTTTCAGACATGCTAAGATATTATTGACCAAGTGTGAGGTCAAGATGGGTGGATATTGACCAAGTTCTTTTTTTGCAAGTTTATAGACCGAGACAGAGTCGAGGTCCATAAACTCGCAAAAAGAGAATGAGGCCAACATCCAGCCATCTTGGCCGAACAAGCTTGGTCAATAAAGGATTTATTACATGGATTTCGGGGAAATTTTTCTTCTGGAACACAGCGGGCAGTCCCGAGTGGAGTCTCCAATTAGCCTAAATAATGCCTAGGTTAGTCTGTTTACGGTAACTACTTGATATTTGAAGCAACACGATGTACACTTAAAAAGTTTCCCATCTGCTGTCTGCATTTTAACCTCAGTCTTCATTTCACCCCTGGTCTACAGTCTTCATTTTACCCTCAGTCTGCATTTTACCCCTGGTCTGCAGTCTGCATTTTAACCTCAGTCTACATTTTACACTGACCACTAGCCTAAAGACAAGATAAAAGACAAGATCTAATCCGTAAGAAATATTAGAGAGGAAAAGATTAGACCACTATGTCAAGTCTCAGTATTTTGTCTCGCATAATCACTTCGGTGAGCTAACACTGTTGGAGTTTTCATTTCTTGCACGAAAGACAATTTGAGCATAGCGATAGCATGTTACAATGTATAAATGAATTTGAAAAATGGCATATAAATCACAAAATATGCACTGAAATTCCATTAGTTACAGTTTAAATCCTAAGCTGGAGTTGATACAAGACAACTGAAGTGAACAGAGTACATTATTAATTACGTGATGTGAAGTCCTGTGAACACTGACAGCTTAGCTATTCCCTCCACAAACTTCATCCACATTCAAAGTAATACAGTACAAATGGATACCACTGTAAGTCTTGAATAGACCCATGTAAGTACATGTATGTAACCAATTTACATTTAACTATCCATTCCTTCAAACATGCTCCCTGCTTTCTTGGCCGGTTTTTTGTCGTAAGAGGTTTCATTACTGTGTACTTTACTGTATTCAGTTCAGTATAATTATTAGTCTTAAAGTTTTAACTGTGTTTCTGCCCCAATCCATCACTTACTACCTCACAAAAGTTCTTTTCATTCAAGAAAATGCAATTTCCATCCACACCACCTTCATAGTGATATATGGCTCAATTTATTTATGGGACAGACCAGGTTTCATCAATTTTCTTGAGAAAAAAAAATACCTGTCACTTTTTCTATAGTCACGAATCATTCTGAATCACAGATTTAGAGGATTTTATAAAAAATAAAATTGCTGGAGCTTGGAAATATAACAGATATTATCACAGTTTACACAAATAAACTGCAGACAATGGGTGACCAAAGTAGTTGAGACACTTAAAGAAAATGACACTTTTCAATGTTTAACACCTTATTGTATTTCACTTGCATCTAGTGTTAATTCACTGATACCCCCAGCCCCCAATTTAATGTCATGTAGGCACTGTGGTCTATGCAGTCTTGGAAATTGAAAAATGAACATTGTTTGGGAGGCGGGGGGAGGGGGCAGGTTTCCAAGATACTCAAAAATGTGTCTCAACCTTTTGTCACTCATTGCAGCTTGCTTGAGCTGCACTAGGGAATGTTGGTTCTCGTTCTTTTCTGTACAGACCTCACTCTCACTGAAACATACTAGCAAAAGTATGGCTCGGTGACATAACAACACAAGTTGACGAGGCTTGCTCAACACAACAACTTTATTCTCTAAGCATCTTGGGTAATACAACAGCTTAACACAACTTCCGGTTACGAATATATTACACTCACCACTATATTATCCCTGTCCCTGCACATTTAATATTGATATCATCAGGACTTACTAATCTACTAGTCAACCAGTAGGCTGATATATACTAAAACAATTAGATTACTCGCTCTCGATTTCTATGCATAATAAGTTGACTTGGACTGCACCCTCATCAGCTACATTTGTGTATCCCGCAATAGAAATCTCGAGCTCATAATTTAAATTAAATTGTGTGAATAGAAATTACACTAATCGTTACCTTGTCTCCTTTTGTTGTCCAACTTGTCCTGTTATTGCTAACACGCCATTAACAGCCTCAGTTCCAATAACCTTAAATGCAAATTCAGATCCAATATCGAGATTGTCATACATAAATCCATTTCTGAAGTTCGATTTCGAGACAGAAGCATTGAAACAATTGTGAACCAAACATCCAACATGATCAACGCCAAATTTGTTTACTACGCCGACAAGTGTACTTCCGACTGTTGGCTTGAATACGATGAAATTAACTTTGACGTCGAAGTGGATGTAGGGCAGTTCATCCAGAATAGACCCAGTTCTTTGCTGAATTTGAATACTCTCGTAATTTACAGGGACACCTTCCAGAACGTCTGAATACTTCATTAGCTTACTGTTTAACTCTTCCTTCACCCCTTCTTTTAAACGACCAAGATAGCGCGAATGAAGTCCAATATGTTCTGTCGACTCAACCCGAATAAAACAAGAATTCCTTTCCGAACATTTTCTTTTTGCTTCTTGCAAAGAAATCCCGTAGGACACACGTGAAGACGAAGACGCCATGTTGAAATTCGACCGCTGACCTTCGCGCGACGGTCGGCTAAACTCATCCCCAGGGCCTTCTCTACTTTTCAAATCGTCGAGGAGAAGGCCCTGGGGATCCCTGGGGATCTGGTTGAATATAGTATGCCTGCAAGACACCTAAGAATACACAGATCATTGTCATACACACTTTAAAAGACTGTAAGCCGGAAGTAGCATGGAAGCGAGGTCTAAGGGCCCTCCAGATTTCCCGCGAACTTTGAAATAGCCTGCAGAACAGGCGAATTAGCGGCACAGAGAGCGAAACGCGATACACGAGCGCGGAGCGCGTTTAGCTCTCTACCCCGCTAATCCGCCTGTTCTGCAGGCTAACTTTGAACGAGTTAACGTGGAGGCGTGAGGCGGAAACCTTTTCGATTGACTGACTGACTGACTGACTGACTGACGGAATGAATGAATGAATGAACTTTACTTAAGTGTCAGAGTGTTTAGCTAGATATTAGCTAATTGTGGACACTAAAAGAACATTCCAGTACAAAGTAAAAAATTAAAATAAGGATGCTACGAATGTTAATGATCTGTTTTAAAATTTAAAATCGTTGTAAAATCGCTCAAAATTGCAATTTTGAATTTGTTTAGAATATTTACAGATTTATAATTTTCCTTAGAAGGTGATAAAATTGCATTGTAGAGGTTACAATTGTTCGATTTGCAATTTAGAAGTGGAAAAGTTGAAACCAGAAAATATTCCTAGCGCAGTCACTAAATGAAAGTCAGATTGGAAAGTGGACACTGAGTGGACAGTGGAAAAATTAAAGTTTTGGTTGAAAGGTAGACGCCTAAACCAGCAAGGAAATAAAAAGCAACTGTTGGAAAAGTAAGAGCTTGGCCAGTGACAGCTGCTGGTTGATGTTTACATTGTACTATTGCTGCTATTTAATGTACTTACATTTGAAGTTTTATTTTTATTCCTTTTATGACAGAGTGCTGGCATTCACAGCCATACCGAAATACCGTGATAATGTTTTCGACCCAGACCCAGAAAAGAGCTACACAAAGGCGAAACTTAAAAGACATTTAGAAAACGATAAAGAAAACATGATAGATAATTTGTTGATTTCTTCGTCAGCCAAAAATCCAGAGGAATTGTTCCCAACAGATGAAGTGGCGAATGAAGTTTTCAACACTAATTTTTCAGTTCTTCCAAATCTTCAACATATCAAAAATACCGGCAAGTCTATTAAGAAGTATGATAATGTTGATGCTGTTGTGAACTCAAATGGCAAAGGGTTGCGAATGATGAGATTTGTCCATGACTCACAAATGTACAAGGATCCACAAAAAAAAAATATGTCTTTGTGCGAACGTGCTGTTGGGCCTCTAACAAGAGAGATCGTAAATGCAAGATTAAATTAACATTACAAGCAGGCAGTACTGATGAAATTAAAATTTTTAATTTGCTGTTTTCCAGTGGATCACCTTTATTCTTTCAATATACAACCGAATATGTGATCAGTCGATTTCGCCTCCATTCTTTCGCATCGCTTTGCCCTTTCGATCTCATGACTCGACGCTTTGGTCCACTGAAACCGCGAGAGAATAGGGGTTGGCAAAAGATCTTTCCTTTTCCCAACTGCGCTTGTAGTCTGTAGAAACAAAACCTGCGCTTGTAGTCTGTAGAAACAAAGTGTTCTGAGCCGCAAAACAGAGACGTGTTCGAAGAATTGCTATTGGGGGTAGGCTCAATTTCTGCCGCCCACTCGAGTCCGTTCTACGTTCCTCCCCGAGCTCAAGTCAAGTCAAGTCATCTTCATTTAGGCAGGGTAGCCCCATCAGCCATAGGTTGGTATCCAAAGGGGCCCTGCGTAAAATTAAGACTACTGAGATAAAAAAATTCAGAATTTTAAAAATTACCTCAAAGTTATGTACAAGGAGTTTAAAAATTGAATAAAAAGGAAATAACATAACAGGGTATAGTAGGGGCGCGGACACCTTTCTCGAACAGCGGAGTCTATATCGGACCTATATAATTACGGTACTTCTAGCCTGCGTAGCAAGGGTTCCCGAGAGAGAGCTTCGTCGAGTTTTTGCTCTCTCTCCAATTTACGCGCGGCCAGAATGTTCGTACGGGAACGCTTGAACGCAGGCTTCGGCATTTCAAAAACCGCTTGGCAATTCAAACTGAACAAATTTCGAAATTTGTTATTATTTTCACGATGAAGAAGTGCGATCTAACACCGCATCTACTTAATTACGGGGAGGAAAGGAGTGGTGTCTCAATGCAAAAAAATATATTTTCGAAAGCTCTTATTGGATGGGAAAGGTTAACACCAGTAAGAAATTGTCTGTTTCAAAGGAGTTTATTTAGATCGAAATTTCCTCGCGATCTTTAGTTTTTAACCTCGAAGAAGCCGGAAAAAAGTTCTAAAAATAGGTTTTGTGTCGTTTGCTTTTCATTTGCATGCCGTTTGTTGCAGATGTTACTGAAAAATTGATGCGACAAAATAATTGAGTGAGAACAATGACTAAGATATTCTGAGTAGGTTCATTTACAGCAGTTGTTTTGTGAAGTGCTTTGTTGAGAACAATTCCTCTTCAAGAAGAATATTGTTGCGATGTTTTTCGGCACACTGCCTTTTCAATGCTCTTGTTTCCCGGCCTTGTTCACAGATCAACATGAATATTTTTCTGATACCAGCATGGTATCTGGAATAGCAGACTTATGTTTAATAATGTATTCAACACCAACCGATGGAATAGTTAAAAAAGATTAAGGTCTAAAGCCTAAGGTTGGTTTTGACTGAATTTCTTCAGTTGGGCAACAAAAAACAAAGACAATTTTCCAGATTAAAGCTAAATTCTCCTTAGGCTTAGTGACATTGGATCTGTTGATAGAAGCAGACCATTCATTATCAATTCATATGTGTCATTACGAGCCCCTGTAGCGACAACATTGTTGTACAAACTGGTCGCCAAAAGATTGAAGTCTTTGGTAGCCAAGAAAACAATAGCTTTATTAAACACGCGTTTGGTTTTTTTTCGCTCCTGTCTTGAACTCAACTAGCTGTCTTCACAGGGACTTGAACATTCTCTGCAAATACGAGTGACCTTCTATCCGGTGATCTTGATCGGTGACTGATGGAGAGAATTTTCACTTACATAGCTGCGTTGTTTACTCGTCTGCTGTTTTGCCTCCATACGATCTCCATGATTTACTGGTTGGTGACTCTCAAGAGAGACAAAACGTATTACCTGTTTCTACTTCTTCTTGTGGCTCTTCTGGTGGAAACAATAATCACCGTCGGATTTCGCAAGGGACACGAGTACAGCTGGTAAGTCGGTTGCATTGATGACTAGATATACATGCTGGCAATGGAAGTAAGGATATCATATTGTATGGTTTAGCTGGCCGTTCTTTCGACATCAATTTATGGTTTTTCATCTTGACTATAAGTTATCTGTGAAGTCCATGAACTAAGAGTCTAATAATTACTTTAAGAAATTTAACGAGGTACAACAAAAGTAAAGATATCATCAATCGAGACAATTCGACCAGGGTCTTGTGCAGAAACTAAGCATTTTTTTTTTTCTTTTTTTCATTTTTACATGCTGATTACGTTATCCTGCGGATCAGCGCTTCTATCAAGAACAGGTTTAGTTTAACAGCACGCAGAGGCAAGCCTAGCTGACTTTATTGAAAATGACAAGCGGAATTTCTTTCACTACAAACTCAAACATACTGAGTTCCGTTTGCATTTCATTTAGCCGATCTAAAGAAGAACTTGACTGAAGAGGTAGATAGCACATATGAGTCGGGTTTAGATTTTACTCAAGCGATCTACTTACTACAATATTTCATTAACCAAAAACATTATTCTCCACAGTGTAAGTCTACAGAAGTTTACAGACAACTTGAAGTTTTTTTATGCGAACTTGTCTCGCTCGCCTTTATGCCGGACAGCAGTCTTAAATAAACATGTACTAAGAGCATCTTGATCCCTTGTGTAATTTAATTCATTGTTTTTTCGGCGGCCTAGCAACGGCGGTGCTGTAACTATTCCATATGATCTTATTGTGTTTCATTCTTACATGACAACTAGAGGAAACTGAATTCACTCCACGCATTCTGTACGAAAAGTTGGTTCTGTAAAACATACCTGTGAAATAAAAATATTTATCTTAAGACAGTGATGTCAATGTGAGAGATTGACTGCCATGAGAGGACGTTTACAGATAAATTTCATATTGTCATATTGCTTTAATTATTTTTAATTACTTTTTTGGATATTTCTTCTATCACTATCTTGAACAGTAAGACGATGGGCACGTATAATGGCCATGGTGGGATTTGTACTCAGTTCATATTATCAAGCATTCAGAAAGCCAGCAGAAATTGCATAACTGATATTAAGGCACGGAAGCATTATTAAAATAAAACCTTGTTAAAGTGGACATTCCCTTAAAATTGTGAATATGTTTATTTTAGGCCACTCTTAATCATTATTGAAATTTGAAAACAGATTACAGAAAAGCCGCTGGAGGTCGGTTGAGTTCTTCTTGGCCAAATTTGAATTGTCTTATGCAAATATGCTAATTCAAGATACAGGCGACATAAAAACCCCCTACTAGCATGAGCAGGTGGTTCATTGCCGGGTGGAATCGCGCCAATTTCCTGAGAAAACTTTCAGTGCAACCTGTAATTGTCAGTTTCCTATTCAAAGAACTACAATGAAGCAGATTTCGTTGTGGCAATTCTCCAGTCCTGAAAAAAAGAGGTTTTAGCGTCAACTTTTTCACAGCGAATTCTCGTTCTTTTGTTCATTGCTTTCTGTCACTCACTCTCCTGTCGTGTTATATAATTACACTGTTCATCTTTATCTTTAACCTTTAGGGTGACATTGACCAAAATTTTAAGGACTGTTCCTAAGAAAAAATACCCAAACTTAGCCTTTGGTGAGAACTTTTTATTAATTTCTCCACTTTCTTGCATCTAATTCTGAATAAGATACATACTTTACTACTTCTTTCCGAAAAAGGAAACAAAAGGAATAGCATTTTGAGTTTCTTAGTAAATAAGCAATTCAACTGAGCAAATTGTTAATGCAAATTTGTCAAATCATGATCAGATACAGTCCAGATGGTCTTTTTCAGGCTCAAATCATAAAAATAGAGCTTTTATTCTCGGCTCAACCTCAGCTTGAAACTTCAATGAAAAGTTTGCTCGTCAAGACGTTTTTCTAGGTAAATTCCGTGCTTTAGAACCCGGCATTCGAACAACGGACATAAAGTATAAATTTAATACAAGGTTGTTATCTCTCCTTATTTCCTTTAACTTTCAGTTACTTAGGGGTGCCACAGCGAGAATTTAAAACAAATTACAGGAAACTGCCATTGAATGCACGTCATGGAATGAACATTCTGTTGCCTGGCTCTGCGGGTTTTGTAACAAAAAAATCAGTCTACTGACGTAGATGATTTTGTCGCCCTCAGCTTCGAACAATGCTCGAAAGGTGCTTTCTTGTTTTTTTTTAAACATTTTCCCTCCTTTTAAGTGGATTCCTTGTTAATAAACCTTGCCAACTTTAGCTTTACTTTGCGACCCTCCGAATCCATTAGAATCGTTTTTCAGTGTAAAATCCCATTACACTTTTTACAAGCCTCCGGCTTTGAATGCGCTTTTAAAGAAATAGCTATCAATAGTTTCCGCTAACGTAATAGACTGGAACAACGAGAAACTCCCTTGAATAACTGAGGGCTCTGCGAGATTCAATTTTTACCGCAGTCCATTTGGTGTAAATGCAAAATAAAACAATTTGAAGCGTTTCCTGGGGAATATTTATGATCATGAACAGTACAGGGATAAGGAGATAGTTGATAAGTAGATTTGAAATCAATTTAAAAAAGTGGAGATTGAAGCAGTTTAGAACCTTCAGTCTTGAATAATTTATAGATAGAGAATTACAGAATTTCGTAAATGGTTTGAACTCAGGAGTATCAGTAGTTCGTATAGTGTGGTCGTCCGGGTGAGGGTAGTTCTGAAAAGAACTGTTGTTGGTGACTGACGTTTCGACAACCTGAGCGGAAGTCATCTTCAGAGTCAAGTGAATAGTTACTATGTTACGTTCACTTGGACGACAGAGCCAACGACTTGCGAACAACTACATCAGTTCGGTAAGTACTGTCAGCCGAATACGCCAACAACTTTGGTTCAACCACCGCTGCAAAGACCACGGTCTCGTTCCGGCCGGACATAAACTTTAGTCTCCGTTGAACACACAAGAGGCCATCCAGATCGTCAAATCCACCTGCAGACGTCTGGTCAAAGCCCAGCTAGATAAACGACTGTCACAGAAGACTCAACTACTCCAACAATAAACTACAACAACAACTTGACAAACTTAAACAACTGTTACCGACTAACTTACTCACAAAATGGACGCACTTGTTAGCGACAAACAAACTTACGAAGAACTTAAACGCGACCAGACGCCAGCACTTCAACGTAAACTTAACAGCAAAATACTTACGATTAAAACGACTGACGCTATCGACACTCAACGCTTCTATCGACTGAGGTGCTCAGTACCTCAACCAC